GGAACTAAGAAAAGGAAACACTTTAAATACACAAGACATGATGAGGGGGTGATGAGAAACACCTGGAATCAATAAACATAATAGGAACCGGAAACAGGAAAGACCAAATATGGGCATGAAACAGACATGGGGGAGGAGAACGCACACAAAACACTGAACAGAGTCTGACAGTAACCTCAAGGCCAGGTTTTTTAATTAAAGGAGAAACCATTGCTTGTTTAAACCGAGATGGAACACAAACCTTGGATAAGGAACTATTCACAATAGAAAGTATACTAGTGCCCATGGTGTCAAACAAATCTTCTAAAAACTGTGGTGGAACGGGACCCAGTAGAGAGGAAGATGATTTCATGTGCTTCATCTGCTAGGACCGGAAGGGAGACCTGACCAAAACAATCAAATGTGCAAGAACTTATTGAACTTATAGAATCAAAAACAATATTGGAGGGTACAATCTCTTTTCTACTATTGTCAATTTTTCTCACAAAAAAAGTTCAAGAAATCCTCACAAGTAAGAGAAGTGGAATCTGAAGAGGGTGTTACAGCTGGGTTTAGCACAGAGTTTATTGTGCCAAACAAAGCTTTTGGACAATGGGCAGTTCTATTAATTTAGTCTGAAAAATATTTTTTTCTTGCCACTTTGACTGCACGCTGGTAAGTGCTAAGAGTATCTTTTAGCATCTCATAAGAAATCTGTAATCTGTCTTTTCTCCATCTGCGTTCAGCTTTCCTACAGGCCCATTTAAGAGCATGAGCTTCATCATTAAACCATGGCTGAGACTGAGGTTTAGACATTTTAAGTCTGAGTGGAGCCACATCATTCATAATGTCCACACATACAGCATTAAAAGCAGTTCCTCTATATCTAGAGGATCCAGAAGCCTCAATGATAGCAGGCCCTGGGCTTGCCTCATAAGCCTCAGCAAAACGCTTTGCTGTAATCTCATTTACAGGATGGAAATAACAGTCAACAGATCTATTATTCGAGATAACAGCTGGCAGATCAATATTAAACATGAGAGATCTTTGGTCAGATATACAGTTGTCCACTATGACCACATTACTAATGGACAGACCCATAGATAAAACTAAATCAAGATTATGTCCATGTCTATGGGTAGCATCACATATAGACTGAGTTAGGTTAAAAGTGTCCACAAGATCAACAAACTGCTTTACTAATGGTTTCGATGGGCAGCATACATGGATGTTAAAGTCCCCGATGAATAATAGATTGTCAGTGGTCGACACAATAAAGAAAGAAAGTCTGAAAAGTCCTGAATTAAATCCTTGTCATATTTCAGATTTTTTCCCCCATACAGTCCGAAGTACTGGCACGGGCTGCAAAAGGGTACACCGGTAGGAGCCACGTCCGTAGAAGATGATAATTTGCACGGGCTTCACGTACATTCCTCGCATTTCTTGCTAACCTTCTGCCGCGCTTTGCTCATCTTTTGTGCCACTTCTTCTTGAAGAGCGAGCCGCAGTGCAGACAAGATAGTTCTGGTTGTATGGACATCAGGTGCTTAGGGAAATTATGGCCGCCAGAACCATACTGATAATCCACACAGTTTACTAAGGCTTGAATTTCCAGAAGTGTTGAGCGATCGTACATCAGCACAGATAAAACAGAGTTCAAAAACATGGACAAAACTAGCATAACAGCACAAACAGTTAAAAAGCCAGGAACGTGACGGCTTGCCGTGCAACATGCTGGCGCCATCTTCCTATTTTAAACAATATCACAATATTTAACAGTCCAAACAATGCTACACGTATGCCTGTCACAATAAATACTTTTTGTTGGGCGATATATTGTCACAGAAACTATTGGGATAAATGATATACAGTCATTTTAAAACCATTTCATGTCCATATGAACAAAAGGCACAGATGCCTCAACAGGCCTTATATGCTGCTAAAGCTAATTTTCTAGAGACATTTTTTGTCTCTTTGTCTCAAGTTGAACTTCTTTTAACTTGAGCACCACGTGTTTATAACACTGTGTCATGCACGAGATGCTGCAAAAGATATGAGTGCAACAACTCTAGTCTGACTAGAGCATATTTACACAGAAAAACAATGGAAAAACAGTGCGGTGGAATGCAAAAATACATACTGGATGTACTGCGCCATTGAATACACTTGGACTTGTTCATCCAAACTGTCTGTAGTTGTTAGGAAATGCCCCTTAAGAGCAATGTCTATTTACTTTTAAAATCTCAAAATCACTGAACACCATTTTGTATTACGGTATTTTACAATCAAAACTTTTTATAATCTTGACAAAATACATTATTGTTGGAAAGGTCTGAGTCTCAATATTGAGAGAGAAATGTATACATCTGTGACAGAAAAATGCATCATCATCATCATCAACAACAACAACAACAACAACAACAACAACAACAACAACAACAACAACAACAACAACAACAACAACAACAACAAACAAACAAATAAAATTCAAAAGCTTTTTTAGGAATTTGGGTTGTATATTTTGACACAGGCACAATTTTTATTATTTTAGCTGCTGACCAAAACATATTTAAGTTACAGTTATATAAAATATAAAAATTAAAGCCTTATGTCTGAATAAGTTATATTCCAAATTTGAAGTTGAAAAAAAAAAAGAGGTTTTAAGAAAATTTGTTTAGGCGTTATACCAAAAAAAGCTATCTGTCATACACTATAGCAGTTCCGGCGGATGACGTCGGCATTGCATGATTAGTGACGAAAGTGGAGAGAGAACGAAACAAAACGCCGGTAATTAGAAGTACAAACCGAGGATTTGCAAAGAAAAATGTCGGAGGATTTCGATATAAACCAAGAGGAGACTGGTTGTCCTTTGCTAAAGTAAGGAAACTTTGCTTCCTTTGCTCCTATAAACAAACTCGTGAGACTAGCATTTCTCAGAGGTGCGCGCGCTGCGCATACGTGCTGCGTCATCCACCGGAACTGCTTCAGTGTGTGACAGATACCGGAAGTGAGAGAAAAGTGTTTTTTGTTTTTGTAAAAAAATTATGTTTCAAATATGGACATTTTTCTTACAAAAACACATGGATTCGCTACAGGAGGCCTTTATTCACCCCCTGGAGCTGTGTGATGCACGTTTTATTATGGATGCGCACGCTTTATTTGACAACTTGTGGACTGTTCAACTGCAACACCCGCTGACTGCAATGATAGAGCTTGGAATAGCCAGGACAATTTTTAATATAACTCCGACTGGATTCGTCTGAAAGAAGAAAGTCATATACACCTAGGATGCTTCGAGGGTGAGTAAAACACAGCCTACTTTTCATTTTTGGGTGAACTAACCCTTTAATACTTTACTATATTTAAGGGTGGATAATTTTATCAGTTGTTTATTATTCATGCAACAATACATAACTACAATAACTTTGTCTAGTGCTCTTATGAATGTTTATAGCATGATTTGTGAAAATTTAACTATACTGAATGACATAGCATAGACTTCTTCATGGCTAGTTTTTGCGTGTTTTGTTTCATTCTGTAACCTACTTGTTCTACGGTCTTCTTCTTCTTCTTCTTCTTCTTCTTCTTCTAATAACGTTTTATGGCGGATGGCAAACCAACTTCTGGTGCATTTACCACCACCAACTGGACTGGAGTGTGGAGCACTAACGGGAAAGCGGGAAAAAGGAACAAAAAATTTAAAATTAAAAACCAACAAACACAACGACTGAGCCTATATGAGCCATGTGGAACATTTTAAATCGATGCATATATATGAACAGAATTATAGACACTGTCCTGCTGGGGGGGAAACATAATAGAATCACAGTAAGTAGATCATCTTCAGATCCAGCACTTTCAGGTCTGATGCGGCGTAAAACTAGACTACACACCACTGGGTGGCGGTAATGCACTTATAAGTCTGCGATCCGCCGTAAAACAAGAAGAAGAAAGAAGACGTCCTCACTAGCGCGCGCGCCCTCAGTCAGCGTCGAGTCTTGTGAGGTGAGCAGTTCATGGTATTTCTCATATTTGAAACAGCTGTAAAACACACTTTACGGAGTATGTTTATGCAACAATATACGAGGTCGTTTCTGCCTGGTTTTAATCGAGTACAGCGCTTTTGTGTTTGTTGATTTAAACACTTACTAGAACAGCAGGCAAAGCAGCATGTGTGCAAAACATGTTAAGTTCATTCAGACCCGAGCGATTTTCTGAATGTTCGTGCGAATGATTGTTTTTATGTTTATAGTGATAATGTCACTGTTACTGAATGTATTGTGATCTGTAAGGGGAATGGATGAGAACCGGTATCTCCTGTCGTAACGTTAGTTACTTTACTTGGTTAAAATTAAGAACCGATTCTGCTGAATACTTCATACTGAATAGATAGTGGGACATTTTAAATCTTCACATAAATATGAACAGGTTTATAATATACACACTGGAAACATTACAATTTTCCATAGTGTTGCTCTTTCTGTTTAAAGAGTTTATCACTGTCAATTTCTGCTTGTATAAAACTACAACATGCTCACAAGTTAATTACTTTAGTGCTTTGCATGCAGTTATTGGGAAACCAAACTGTATTTAGATATTGTGTGTTTTAGTGTAGTTATTTACCTGGAGTTAACGAAAATGGGAAAAGGTTACAAAAGAACGAACAAATGTAACGTATAGAATGTGCGAATTACCACATATGTGATTGCAGTGTTACTGAATGAGCATGTCAAATTTAAGTGCTGTTTTGTGTCAATGCTGTTACTTTTAATATAGTAATAGACATTTTTTCACTTACATAAATGCTTGAATGTGTAAATAATTATACTTTTTTATTTACTTATTGTTGATTTTGGCAAATCTGCTGCTTCCACACACAAATTAATGTTCAGTGAAGCTCCTCCCACAATTACACCATCAGTGATTTCGCCAATAAATGCTGGAATATTTGCATCAGCCTACAAGTGAAGATAAGCATCAAACCTCCAGAAAGCGCTAAAATCTGCAAAGATTGAATTAAAGACAACAGAGAGAGGATGAGAGATCCAGAACCCTGCAGAATGAAACGCACTGAAGAACAAAGAGGTTGGTGTTTATTCTTGATTTTTCATTAATGCGGCTGAAGGTTATAAAGCATCAAGCAGATTTAGATCTGTTGTAATAGGAACAAATATTTAGAGCTGTGCAATAAGATAGCAAAAACATAAAATAATAAGGGACTTTTTTTCAATGAAATTTGATAGATAATTGTGTAGTTGAGCAAATGTATTTAATAGTTAGAAACATGGGATTTGTTCCTGCAATGTTTTAAAAATAATACTTTGAAGTAGGGCTGAAGCTATCGACTATTTTAGTAATCTAGTATTCTACCGAAAATTCCATCGAGTAATCGGATAAGAAGAACTTTTTCTTTATTAAAGAGCAATGCTAAATATACAAGAGAAAATAAGACGGGTCTCTTAAAATGAACAAGTAATTTGTTTCCTTTTTAGAAAAATGGAAAATTTTTATTGCTGAAATTGCATATATTAATAACTGAAAACTAGACCCATTTAGTGCATTTAATTGCCAACTTACATTCAAAATACAAATATATAAGAATATAAAAATCAATTTCAAATTACTTAAAAAAAGGTAAACAGTACAACCAAAAACTAAGACATAAATCAGAATAATAGTAATAAAAAATAATTATAACCTAAACATTGTGTAACTTAACTTTCAAGTTTCAGCCTAACTACAGCTCAGGCATGACATAAGCCTTTACTGTCTTAGAAGGCTTTGTGGCTTTTGTAAGAGGCAAAACTTAGTGGGCGGGAAGCTAACGTGGAACAAAAACTAAAGTCCATACACATGACATTTATTGACACATTTTTCAGCAACATGAATTTAAAGTATTTGGAGAATAAACCCTCTTAAATGTCTCTCTGCATGGTGTGTGTGTGTGATCCTTTAAAAGAGCAGCTGGTTGCAAACACAGTGCTCTGATGTAGTTGCAGTAAATGGTAGGGATGCACCGAAATGAAAATTCTGGGCCGAAACGAGAATTCTGGATGTGCTTGGTCGAAAACTCTTCTGTGTTTTTAATCGTATTGTTGTGCAATGGAAGTACTATAACCTTTCTGAAATCTGTGAATTGTTTATTGGTTCATGTTTAGGACAATTTTTTTTTTTAGTTTGATTCATTGTTTGTTAAATGGTTACAAATATATAAGAATATAAAAATCAATTTCAAATTACTTAAAAAAAGGTAAACAGTACAACCAAAAACTAAGACATAAATCAGAATAATAGTAATAAAAAATAATTATAACCTAAACATTGTGTAACTTAACTTTCAAGTTTCAGCCTAACTACAGCTCAGGCATGACATAAGCCTTTACTGTCTTAGAAGGCTTTGTGGCTTTTGTAAGAGGCAAAACTTAGTGGGCGGGAAGCTAACGTGGAACAAAAACTAAAGTCCATACACATGACATTTATTGACACATTTTTCAGCAACATGAATTTAAAGTATTTGGAGAATAAACCCTCTTAAATGTCTCTCTGCATGGTGTGTGTGTGTGATCCTTTAAAAGAGCAGCTGGTTGCAAACACAGTGCTCTGATGTAGTTGCAGTAAATGGTAGGGATGCACCGAAATGAAAATTCTGGGCCGAAACGAGAATTCTGGATGTGCTTGGTCGAAAAACCAAAGCCGAAAGTGCTTTGTAATAATTTATTATTTATTTTATTAAATAATATAAAGTAATTTTGTAAGACTTTTTAATTTAACTAAATTTTAATGACAGGGAATCTAAAAAAACACAAGACTAAAATAACCACACTTTTATTGAAAGAAAATTGGACAGAAAATATATTAATATTAAATATCAATGTATTGTTTTTTTCAGTTCTATGCAACAGAATCAGACATAACTTGTTGTTTTTGACTAATTATCTAAATAATGTATAGTCCTGCAAACAGGGTTTTTCCTTTCTCAAAATGCGGCAGAGGTGGTACCATCCTGATCCTGACCATCCTGAAATGTGTGATCAATCCTTAAAAAATAAAGTTTTCTGTATTTTAGTAATAGTAGTATGTACATTCTGCTGAACAATAGTAATATACTGTATTTCTGCTGCAATGTCTTCAAATTAAACCGGGCTTTTATTTTGATGGGTTGCCATGAATACCTTTTAAATTTCTGTGTGTATATGATATGACGCTAGTTTTACTCAAATGAAATGGTGAAACGCTCATGCAGTGACTCTCAGGGTATTTCTGGAGATGTTGTTTGTGTGTTTATGTCCTCATTGAGATGGCAGACGCTGAAATCACCACAAGCGTGTCACGCGTGCTTCAGTGTGTGTGTGGTAAAGGAAAACATGCGTCTCTGCCATTCATTCATTCATAGAGATATGATCACATAATATAATGCTCATCAGATCTCGTAAATCAGTGAGAAATGAATAGAAATTATGATTTTGTGTAAAGATGTATAACATGTATAAAAGTATAAAAACCCTGGCAAAACTATTATCATCAGCGCATGTGAGCAGAGCATAGCAGGGAGCAGATCAGTGAACGAGATTTTAGCAGCATTGAACAGAAACAAGTATACTACATAGACATTTCTTGTCCGCGCTATTTGAGCGGACTTAGCTTTTCCGGTGAACATGAGCAGGAAATGAGCAGAATGCACATTGACAGAGCGGAATATTGAACGGAGCGTCACACGGCGCAGTGATGACGGCTGGAGGAGAGTGAAAATTCAGTGTATCCCTAGTAAATGGACTAAACGATTCTCCGAAGCACACAATTTGCCTCGATGATTTTTTGTACTCTAGTAGCTCGAGGAATCGTTTCAGCCCTAATTCGAAGATCAATTTACCTCATTCTTGGAAGGTTTCAGGGACATATAATTTATAAAACTGCACCAAAATGATCAATTTTGTATAGCAATTATATACTTTCCACTGTTGCATCACTTTCACGGTTCTCTCTCTTTTTTTAAACAAGTTAAATGAGTGATTTTTACTTTGATTTCAGAGTTGATTGAAGGGAATGAAGAACCAAGTGAAGTTGAGAAGAAAAGTCTTGTCAAAACTGAAGAAAAAACTTTGAGTTGCTCTCAAACCAAACAGAAATATTTAAAGAAAAGAGCCAAGAGGTCTTCCACTTGTGCTCAGTGTGGAAAGATTTTCCTATGCAAATATAGTCTTGATGTTCACATGAGAGTTCATACTGGAGAGAGACCGTATACATGTGTTCAATGTGGGAAGAGTTTTGCACAAAAAGGACACCTTATGGAGCACATGAACATCCACCCTGGAGAAAAACCTTACAAATGTTCACACTGTGACAAGAGATTCATTCAGTCAGGACTCCTGAGAAAACATGAGAGGATTCACACTGGAGGGAAACCATACAAGTGTTCACACTGTGACAAGAGATTCAATAAGTCCACAAATCTGAAAACGCATAAGAGGATCCACACTGGAGAGAAACCGTACACATGTGATCAGTGCGGGAAGAGTTTCACACTAAAAAAACACCTTACAGCACATATGAGAATTCATACGGGAGAGAAACCGTTCACTTGTGATCAGTGTGGAAAGAGTTTCACAAAATCAGAAACCCTTAAAGTACACATGAACATCCACACTGGAGAGAAGCGGTACACATGCGATCAATGCGGCAAGACGTTTTTGTGGGCTTCAGTTCTAACAAAACACCTGAGAGTTCATACAAAGGAGAAGCCACATTCATGTTCTTTATGTGGAAAGAGTTTTTCACGTCTAGAACATTTGAAAGGACATCAGAAAATTCATACTGGTGTGAGAGAGTACATGTGCTTTGAGTGTGAAAAGACTTTTATTTCAGCGAACTGTTTAAAAATGCACGAGAGGATTCACACTGGAGAAAAACCGTACAAGTGTTCACACTGTGACAAGAGATTTAGTCATTCAGGACGTCTGAAAACACATGAGAGGATCCACACTGGAGAGAAGCCTTACAAGTGTTCACACTGTGACAAGAGATTTAGTCATTCAGGACGTCTGAAAACACATGAGAGGATCCACACTGGAGAGAAGCCTTACAAATGTTCACACTGCGACAAGAGATTCAATCAGTCAGCAAATCTGAAAACACATGAGAGGCTCCACACTGGAGAGAAGCCTTACAAGTGTTCACACTGCGACAGAAGATTCAGTCAGTCAGGAGTCCTGAAAAAACATAAGAGGATCCACACTAGTGTAGGGTATCAGTGCGAATCGGACAATTTAAGATTAGATCAGATTGATGTTGAACAACCCAAAGAGCCAAATTCCACAAAGAGGCCCAGGATAAAAAGACAACGTCATAAATCTGTCCACGATACCCTGGCGCCACAAGTCTGAAGCAAGTCCACCAACTAACAGTTTTGAGCATGCTTGCAGCATTAAAACAAAAGAACCATATTGATTATTCCAACTCGGGAAGGAGTTTGTCAAATAATCAAGATTAATAGTCAAAGAGATGCACAGCATAACCATCACATCTAAATCTGTGATAGAAATCAAGAGCTACAGACTTCCTCGGATTGATTTCCCCAGCCCAGGACAAAGACCAGGCTCCTTCTAGGCCTTTTGTTCCTCACAAAGCACAGCTCACGTTCACAGAATGACACAGAAACTGTCTTTACAGATGTAGATTCACCAAAATGATCTCAAAAGGACTTTTAAACGAATATCAGTCCATTGCATATCATATATGTAAACCACACATTTGACTATCATGTTCTAATCACTCATTGTGTATGTATTTTGAATTGAATAGTTTATAGAATTACATTCATGTTGGTATGTATGAGTTTGAAAATTCATGCTTTTAACATTTCTATCAATCAATTCTTTGTCAAATGTGTTATATTCCGGTTATTGAAATCATGTCCAAAATTATACTCTGCAAGAGCGGGAAAATTCGGACCATGTGACTGATAAGATAACATGTTGATTTATGTATTGGGAGGAGAAACATATCAACACCCCAAGCTAAGGCAATGTCTAATTGGTGAAAACACCATTTGGGATGTGTCCAACAGCCATGTTTAAATACTCGGGACACCATCAAATTATGCTTTTTCTTGCCTTTTTGACGCTGCTTTTAGCTCTCTTTGAACGTGCTCTAGCGTACACGCCAACTGCTCCTCTAAAACCATGAGGAGAAACGCCATCTAGTCTAGTCACTCTTATTGCTGGCTTCTACTTTTATTTTATTTTCAATTGAGAGTTTCATGGTCTGAGTTAAGTTTTGCCTCAACACCGTGTCTCTGAGTCCGACCTCGAGTGCCAGTCTTAAACTTCAACCAGCCCGCAATTCTGCAACTTCAGCCAACGCCCAAGACTTCACTACCAAGGACCACTGAACTTCCAGCCAATCAGCAACCTTGGGAAACCCCTTTCTGCAGTGATGACAACAAAGGGAATCCCTTAACACAAAGGCAAGGCAAGTACAACCTCCAGATTCTAGCTGAACTGGTGCATTTAATATAAATGGTAACCTCATTGAGGAACTCAATGCGAGGGTTAATTAAGTGATTGATGGTTGTTCAGGTCTATGCAATTGCACATATTGCTATAAACTTGGGATTTCACATTTTCATTCTCTCCTCACTTTCTCTCTTCCTGCAACTTGTATGAATGTGTGAGTGCATGTGTTTGTGTTAGATTCGTTTATATTGTGTTTTGTGCTTACAAGTTAATGTCTTAAACTGCCGATCTTGTTACTGTGCTAATTACTGGCTCGTTCAATGAATTGCTGGCCAACTCAGTGATCAGCTGTTAAACAGTGATTCTGTCCAAATTCCCTTTAAAATCTTAAATGATTCCCTTTGAGCTAAATTGACCTGTTTCCCTTACACTAGAGAGAAACCATAGCACTGCTCTGCATGTGGGAAGCGTTTTAATCATTTATTTGCTCTGCGCAGTCATACAAAAAGCAGTCGCAGTGAGTAGATCATCTTCAGATCCAGCACTTTCATATCTGATGCTGCGTCCTCACCAAATCGGACACAATAATGCATCGAGCAATAAAATATAATTTGTTTAAATCTGTCCTAATGAGCTATTACGAGTGATATGACTGAAACGCTATCTAAAGTTTTCACAGTTTATAAAGTTCATCTTCAAAACCAGCAGTTTCAACTGAGATTCAGATGAACTCAAAGACTGAGTTCCTCCCCAAAGCACAATGTCAAAATGTTTTATTTTAAATACCATTGTGCTTTCTCCCTTTCTGGGCCTTGATCATAGTTAGTAATATGTAGTTCCGTTGCTGTCTATGGAGGGTCAGAAAGCTCTCGGATTTCATCCAAAATATCTTGATTTGTGTTCCAAAGATGAATGAACGTCTTGCGGATTTGGAACGACATGAGAGTAATTAATGTCAGAACTTTCATTTTTAGGTGGGATAGATTTTTTTCCCCCCAACTACATATGATTCATTTTCTAAATACCCCACATCAGTAGGCACATATCAAACCTCCAAAAAAACATGTTTAACCACCTCAGGCACTACAGACCTTTTTCCTCTCTTTTTTTCAGATTTAGACACCTTTTTTCTCAATCCTGTAACAGACCAAATGGGATTGGTTTTTGAAGACTTAACACATTTGATAGGATGGATCGCCTTCAATTTTTGGTTTTGTTTCGGTGAATGAAATAAAAATAGTAATATATATATATAAAAGACCGCATCACTGATTATAACGAGTTCTTGTGTTTTATTGCGTCACGCAGCGTCTGGTGTAGACACGATGTAAGTTAATGTAGCTTTCTGATGCTGCGTTTGAATTTTCATGCCATATTATTTGAAATTAGCGCAGGCCAAACTTTTTTCTCTCAGGGGCCGGATGTGGCCCGCGGGCCGCCTGTTGAGGAACCCTGCACTAAAGTGATTGAGCTTGATTAGTTTTGCCATAACCACGTGATCTGAGACGTCCCAAACTTCGTTTTTGCACACAACCATGTGACTGCTTCATATTCGGATTCAAATAACGCGAACCCATTACACAGGTTTCAGGTACCATTCACTTCAAGGGACCATCCCACAATAATCTTAATTTATGTTGATCATATATGCCTACATGAGCCATGCTTAGTTTTTTAATTAATTTATTCAGAGGCTCATTTATTCATACTCGAGTAAAATGAGAATTGTAGAACAAATTGATTTATTATATGAAACGGTTCAAAAATGGCTGGTACGTCTGGGATCCAGACACCTTTTCCCACCTTTGGCTTTGACCAAAATAGGTCATTAGTGTGCAACTTCTTGAAAAGCTAAGAGTAGGCTAATGATGAACCATTTCACGATTCAGTTGAGGGGAAAGTCTCGGTGCTTCGCAAAGCTTTGTTTCACTATCACTACTGAAAACAGCAAAGTTTGCGTCATATCTGTAGTATCAAACATCTAAGACTATTGTTCATGTAACCACAAGCTCATTTGCATAATGCAAGCAAATCATCAACCAGATGAGGTCAATGTATTTCTAGCTTCAAGAATATATCAGAGGATGATATATCCTTTATATCATCAGGATACAACTTTACCTCACAAATTATAACTTTTCAAAAGTTGTACTAACACAAGAATATTAATATCAAGATATTAAGTGACTGTAACACTCTGCAACACCGACTTTCTGTGCACAAGAGAAATAAGTTTGAAACTAGAAGGAACAATGTGATTTCTAATAAAGATCCATTTCCTATGATTCATATCAATTGAACGTGGAACATGAACAAGGGTTAAAAAAAAAAAGAGAATTGTAAAAGAAATACATGCCATAGCTCTAGAGCTAAAAATACAAATAAAGGCATAATTTATTCAAAAACCGATACTATAATAAACATGTTTCACAAAAGTAATGTTTACTGCATTATACTGTGATCAACGTGTAAGTTTCATTTTCTTTTATAAACTGAATTACAGTAAAAGTAAAACAAACTTTAAAAAATAATATCTGTCCTCTTTGTCTTACTGAAGTCCTGGACAAATACTGCATGCATGTCAAATCCTGGAGAAATCCAGGAACTTAAATGCACATCAACAGCTGAAAGACAAAATGTTCTGATCGCTGTCTAACAGATGAAACGTTTATTAAGTGTATGAACAGCATTTATTGTCTATTTAAGCAACATGAAGTAAAAGATCCGTTCATCAAACACAGACGTCAGAATCGTGTTCTGCGTGATGTATTTCAGTCTAAAGGTTTAACATCTTTCAGCTTGATTAAAACATGTGAACACTCATCAGCATCTGCAGTAACTCTCACCTGATTCAAATCTCATAAACAAAGTACAAATGTAGGCTTGCTTGTTTAGTCCTGATTCTGAAGTAGGAAGTTCAAGATGCCAAATTCATTGTCAGTTGGAGAGATCAGCATTTTGGCTCTGGCTTCGTTTAACCTCCTGCGCAGGAAATCCCTCCGTTTGCACCACTCCTGAAGCTCCTCCTCACTGTGAGCAAAGTCGCAACTCACACCATCAGCACAGCCATTTTCCAACCTGTCAATCAAACACCACAGCCAATCAGGACAAAGACCACTGTTAATAACAAACCCTTCATCGTTGATGTTGTTCATGGATTTGATGATAGTGAACCTGGGACAGATGGAGAAACAGGGTCCAGGGAAGCGATAGGACCAGGCCAGACTCTCGTCCTCTCCCTCTCCGCTGAACACTCTCTGCTTGTGTTTCTCTGTGAAGATGTGGTGCTGCCACTGCCGATCACTGTTGCTGTGTTTCCCACACAGAGAACAGTAGAAACTGTTCAGCTGTAGTAACAAACACGCAAGCGGCTCCATTAGCACCACAGCTGCAAAGTCCGCGTATTTTACGTATTTTTTGAGAAGTCGCGTTAACAAAAACATGGGTTGCCGTTATTTGGGCTTATTTTTAAAAATATGGTTGCTTGTTAGGCAAACCTGACAAGCAACTTTGTTTCTATACATTTATGGTCAATGTTTTTTTTCTTCTTCCCCCGAATATATTGTTGACACTGTCTGCTCGCAGGTAAAAGCCAATCAGCGCAATAACTAATGTGCTGTAGGGTTATTAGTCATCGCACATCGTGCCCCCTCCTCCCCCTTATTGGAGTAAAATCACGTTTAACTTGCAGACACGTGACGTTAGTAGATGTAAATAGACAAACAAAGCCACCAAGAAAGATGTACAGAGATGGACGAAACACAGGAGAAGGTGAACGGTGCAGGGGAGTAAAGGGACCTAATTTAATTTGTAAAATATTTTTATAATGCATTAATCATTAGCAGTAATACTAATAGTAGATACATGGTTCGAGTTTACTTTATTATAAATATGTGGCTATATTAAAGCTTCCCCTTAGTGCTCTGGTCTTGTTTTATTCTCCATAACTATTCTGCTTGCAGGTGATCGGAGGATAGTGTGTGCCCTCCCGCTTTGTTGCAATTTAATGATTTTTGTAAAATAACTTGTGTTTTTGCTCTTGAAACTCAGAGTGGTTTCAGTTTACTATGTTGCAGGCTCATTTATTGATAATAAACAATTGATCAAATAATATTGATGCTAATAAATATTGGGCTTGTTTTTGAAGCTGCGGTTGCTTATTTAACTTGTGAGAGTTGGCAACACTGACTAGCACGTGAGAGGACATTGAAAATTAACCTGCAGGAACGTACCAATGCTTCAGCAAAGTCCGTCGGCATGGTGATCTGCTTCTCTTCCATTGGCTGAGATGGTGAGGTGCTGTCAGACGCTCTGTTCTGATTGGAGGTCGAGAGCCAGACGTCAAACACCTGCTGGATGTCCCTGACTGCAGTGGAGAACATGTGACCTCAATCATTAATTCAGATCATATCTAGGCTATGATGTCACAACTTAATCCCAATTCACACACGTGTACAAAGTATGAGAAAGTACACTTTGTCATAAACTTAAGTGCCTTATATCATTGGAATCCGTGGCTCAAGACGAACAAACCAAATACATCTCCTACTTCATTTCTATCATGAAAAACAAAAATGTCCCACCATATTGATTATCATTATTATTATTATTATTTTTTTTTTGGCAAAACCAGTTTTAGGTTATTTGCCCAATAGGAAACAAAACAACAACAAAAAAAGATAATCTAGAGATGAATATCAATTAATTTTCAGTATCTTGACACACTGGCTTGCCAAAATGTTCAAATTGGGTGTGGCCACTTTTACTTAAATGGTTATGACTCTTGAACAGAATTATGTATCTTCACCAAATTTGGTGTAGTTATGTATAGGCTAATTCTGAGGGCACATGCAAAGACCAGGAGAACTTGGCCACTCTGTGGCGCTAAAACAGGAAAAAACTTGGCTCCAAGTATGGCCCAATTGGTACGACTGACTTGTCATCATTGCCTATTGTTCACATATTTTGAAAAACATGGCTATCATTGGCCAAACAAATTTCAGTAGCTATTAGACAAGCTTAACAGAGGCCAGTCGGAAGGAAAATTGATGGCCTGTTTGACTATTCTCCCAGAGGTCTGTTAAAATTGGGGAAAAATGGCCACTAGTTAGTAGTTACTAGTTACACATTAGTGCAAATGAGCATATACAATGCAATGTTTCACACACATATTATACACACTATGCATATCATAAGTTAGATTACCTCAACCACCTCAACTTTGCCTCAAGAAATGCTGGCAATCAAACTGTTTGTTACATAGGCCGTTTGATTTTTTTTTTTTAAAGTAAGCATGAACCGGTAGTTGCAATTGCCTTTTTTTCTCTACGGTGACATATATCCGAGTGAAACAGCATCTGAAATGAGAGGACGGGACTTGATTTCGTCCTTCGGGAATTGATTGGATCGTTGGAAGTTGGGGCGTTGCTAACAAAATGGAGGCAGATCTGAATGCCAGTTTGCAGTTAGCTGTGGGGGGATTTACAGTGGGGACTCTCCACTGGATTCACAGCCGACACCCAAGCATGAATAAATGTTTTATGTATTAAGGATGACGACGACGACGATCAACGGCACAAAACATGCCTAAACAGCAAGACTGCCTGAATGACTGAGCTAATGACTCCATCAGGTTAAGTCATATTCATGAAAAAAATTAGTTTGCGATGTCCTAAGAGTAATGTTGTGGTAATATCCTAATATATTTTCAATGTTTAGGGGTAACGTACTCCCTCATGACTGGTGTCAGTGCTATAAAGTGAAGCATCAGCTTCAGCTTTTCCCCGTCGTTTATCCCAGTGTTTACCCCTCACGTCACTAGCTCCGCCCTTGCGCCATAGCTCGTGACCGAAAGAGAAGACGAGTCGTTTTGAGGGGGAGGGGAGGGGAGGTTAACGTTTTTGATTAAAGATTACGAGGGCACATGAATTAAAAAAAAATAATGAAGTGCATGTATAAATTATTTATAACAAACACTACAGTATTCCATTAAAAAAATAAGAATTTTCAATTTTGATTTCATGGTGACTTTAAAGACTAAACCTACTTTCTAACTAAATTCTACTTTTCTCGTCTTAGGTTTTTTAATCTCACCAAAACTAGTGAAGTAGAACTCTCATTGCTGCCTAGATCAATAATTATCAAAATGTTGAACAAATGTCAAAAAATGTTGAACTTCAGTATTTGGATGGGCAATTTAAAAATGTTGCCATAAACAACTGTACCCAAAATCCTATAATTCCTAAATCAAACCTCAGAACTTCACAAAACTTGATTAGTACATGCAGCATATGACTGTGACTGAACATCAGTGTTGATTGTGTTTGATTTAATGCTCACAGCCGTTGTTCTTCATGTACGTCCACAGATCCTTCTCCTCCTGACTGTGAGCGAAACTACAGTTCCCGATGTAATGACATTTACGCTGCTTCAGCACATGAACACAGATCTGTAGAGGAAGAAGAAAGCAAAGGAAACATTCAGCGTTAAACTTCAAGAGCTCAGTTTCAGTGTAACAAATGAGTTTTCAACAGAACAAATATATTATATTTCATATCCCTACTTTAAAAAGAGACATCGTTTTTACCAGTGGAATAATGTAACGAAGTGAAAATAATTTGTTACAGTAGTTAAGTAGCCTATTTTTTGGGAGTATCTGTACTTTACTTGAGTTTTTATATTTCAGCCAACTTTCACTTTAACTCCACTACATTTCCTAATTAAAATGTATACTTTTACTCCGATACATTTCCCTGAACCATATTCGTTACTTACTACAAAATAAAGTTGGAAGATGAACACAGACTGCAAGCAAGCAGGTTCAACGAATCAGTGGTCTGGCGTCTGCAAGTTAGACTCCTAAAAAACAAATTTGCTCATGTGCAAACAAGTGCTCAAACAACCGCGGATGATTCTATTTTCCACTCAAGTCGAGGCTGGTGTGTGCGATATACAGTACAGTGTATCTTCTGCGATAATATGGCAAGTGTTGTAATGATGTGCGATTTGACATTATCAAGTATATCATCAAATCACACACACAGAGTGCACGCATGTGATTTATTAGTCTATTAAAATTCAAAATTCAAGGCATTCTAAATTGTAGACGGCAAAAATGCGTCTGTATGCTTTTTATATTTATATAATTTAATAGTTACCTTAATCTATATCAAACAAAGAGTGCAGTTTTTCCCCCAGATATCAGCATGATAACAAATAAATGTTTGATAAAGTTTAATAAAGTTAGCATTAAGTGCCTTACATTTTAAACACAAAATTGCCTGTTTTTGCTCAATTTTGCCAACGAAAATAGTTCCAAACAAAGATCACAGCACTGTTTTGCGTCTCTGAGCAATGGACGGTGTTTACTTATTGAATGAATCGGTTTTTTGAACGAATCTGTTGATTGAGTTAATGAGTGAATCACTGAATCATTTAGTCAAATGCTTTGTTCCTGAATGAATCAGCTGTTTGAACGAATCTGATGAAGCTCAATGACTTACTCATTAACAGTCACTTGCTGCCTTCTACTGGCGGTTTTAATTTCACATTTCGACTATTTTTTCCATGTTTTAAATCATTTCAAATATCAGTATTTAATGTTTTATGTTAAAAACAAAACATTTATGCATCTGTAACTGCAGGTTAAATGCATCTATGTTCCCTCTGAGATACATTAAATGGAGCAAATACATCCAAGTATGGAGTGACATTTACTACACAGAGCCATAGTTCACTGACAAGCTACGCAATATCGCTTTCATAATCGCAGATGTATCGCCTTCGATTATGAATGTGATATTGCGTAGCTCGTCAGTGAACTACGGCTCTGTGTAGTAAATGCCGCTCCATCTGAAAGCACGTGCTGGAGATTTACTACTAATCACAGAACCGGCTTTATTGACGAGATGCGCATGAAAATCACATGCGATTTATCGTGCAGCCCTAACTTCAACTTCTACCATAGTAATTTTCTGGTAAGATATCTGTACTTTTACTTGAGTATGGCTTTCAGGTACTTTATCCACTACTGGTTTTTACTCACGTCATATTGTTGAGGAAAGGTCTTGGCAAAGGGCAAAGGTCGCACTGCGACCCACTTCTTCCTCTCTTGGGATTTGACCAGTAAAACCCTCCTATCTTTGGTCCAGCTGAAGAGAGACAGACAGAGGAAGAGAGTGAGACAGCTGTGTCCAGGTGTGTGTGTGTGTGTGTGAGCGTCTGTCCATCCGTCTGCACCTGTGTCTGGCTTTAGCGGTGCAGTATTTCAGTGCTCGGTCCGGTTCACTGACCAGCCCGTCTCTCCAGCACTGACCACACACAAACTTCATCATCAGCTCCAGTCTGTGACCTTTGACCTCAGCACTTCCTGTTCCCTGCACAGGACCCATGTTCCCATTTGTCTCATCGTTTCTGATTGGACTCTTTGATTTGGCGGCAGTGATTTTGTTTGGTGAGCATGAAGCTATGACTGCAGGCTGATGGAAACACAATATATAGAGTTGAGAAATTATTGCCACATGCTTTATAAAAATCAATGTACTAATAACTGCTGTTTACTAAATCAATCTTCACTAGTACCAGTGTTACCACATAGTTATGAAACATCTAACACTAAGCATTAAAAGGATCCTTCCTCCAAAATAAAATCCTCATGCCATACACTCACTCACACACATACAACAGCAACCCCCAAAAATTTGCATTTAGGTTTGGTTCACGCTAAAGAAACTTTGACATTTTCACATCCTTTTCTAAAGTTTGAAGACGGTCACCATACACTGCCATTATATGAAGTGTGAGAAGAACATTTACTAAAATGTCTCTATTTGTGAAAGAAGGACAGGTCATCCTGCTTTAGAATAACAACACCAGGGTAAGTAACTAATGATAAAGCACTATTTAAAAATTACTTAATTGAAAAGAAACTCACACGTTCTTTGTTCCAGTGTTTTTTAGACTCCTGTACAATCTCTTCATGAGTGGTTCCTAAAAACACACAGTTTTAGTTTCATGTGTCTCCACCTGCTGGATCACTGATGTAATGCAGTACCTCAAACAGACAGATCTCACAGAACAGCGGCTGGTCTTTTTAGTATTTTGTGTGTTATTTTAACATCAAACTACTTCAATGTTTTTAAATGACAAATTGTTTTTAAAAACCTTTAAAGCAATTAAACATTAGGTACAGTTGCGGTTAAATGTTTACATACGCTTTATTCTTAATACTGTGTGTCATTGACAGTTTTTTTGTTTTGTAATATTTGTTGAGTTCCTTGTTTGTCCTGAACAGTTAAACCGCCCACTGTTCTTCATAAAAATCCTCCAGATACCATAAATTCCTATGGCTTTCCAGCATCTTTTGCATATTTGAACCCATTCCCGCAGTGTACTGATTTTGAGACCCCTCTTTTCACACTGAAGAAAACGGAAGGACTTGTACACAACTATTACAAAAGTTTTAACATTCACTGATGCTCAAGAAGGAATGCTTTAAGAGCGCAAGAACTGGATCAAGTTTTTAATTTTTGTTTAAACATCACGTTTTCATTTAATACTACCCTTCAGAAGCTACAGAAGACATGTTTCCCACAGGACAAAATAAGCACAATTTACCCTGGCTTTCAAATTCAATTCTAATTCAAAAGGTTTTCTGTAAATCTGGCGATCATACAGTTACTTGACTAAAATAATGTTGTTGTTTTTTTTATACTCCAAATCTGCATGTTTGTGCAATTTTATACTTCTTTTTTGCCTTCTGAGTGAGTGGTGTATGCAATGATTCTGGTCACATGATAGTAGCAGGTGTAAACAGCGTGTTATTTGTGTACCAGTGTCTCTCTGCAGGATCCAGATCTGCAGCTCGATGAGAGAGTGAGCGAAGCAGCAGCCCTCCTTCCTCTTACAGCCCAAAGTGAGCTCGTGACGACACACGTCAAACTGACAGCGAGAGCTCAACGCTCGGATCTTACTGTAACTCACAGCGCTGCTCTTCACCACGTGAACCAAACACCTGACAGAGAGACAGAAAATACATTCTTATATCAAATGATCAAGGATCGTTCAGCTGTGACATTTTTATTAAAGGCACAATATGTAAGTTTTCGCCGCTAGAGGACGCGTATTCAAAACAAACAAAGAAACAAAGGCATAGTTAGATGACGCCGTGACTGAGTGTGGAATCATGGGAGTTGTCGTCTTCATCCCCACAGCCGATGCAATCCGACGGGACTCATGTTCATGGATGAGCTAATGATTTATTAACGTAGTTGAATGAAGCAGGGTGAGGCTGAAAACCGTCGAAGCGAAACGAGGCCGCTGAACCAGCGTGACACACGGCTTGAAAGCAGCGGAGCTTTTATTATGCCACAGTCGACCGCTTCCACTCCTTCCGGTCGTGCGTATGTGGGGAAAAAAGCAGCGTTGTTTTATCATACTAGATACATTTGAACATTCTGTTATAATGCTACTCTGTGCGGCCGTCACCGATCTAATAAAACGCACAACATATTAAAGCGTCTTTGGTGTTTCCATGTTTTCTTCAAAACAAAACCGGAAATCAAGGGGTTATGACGTCATTGGCAGGCGACACAATGACACTATAGACACGGTCCATGTCACTAGTTAAAATTGCTTATTTCTCTGGATTTAAATATTCTTCTAAGCATTTGGGATAATGTAAGTGCTCAAGTCAGCAAAATATATAACACTGTTCTAGTGGTTTTTGGATATTTTAATAAAAAAATCTTACATATTGTGCCTTTAACGCGTGACAATGAGTTTGCGGTGTTTCTCACATACTTTTTTTGGTCAAACTGATGTTGTGTCGGTACGTTCGCACACAGAGCGGGATTCTCCTTCCAGCGTTTGCTGATCATTCTGGGTCTGCAGTCAAAACAGGCCTGTGGAAGGACAGACCACACGTGTTTAGTACGTATCAGAACAGAGAGAGCGTTTAAACTGGGCCTCGTTAGATACGCCTCGTTAGATACATATGATTAAACATTCACAGCACTGATCCAGGTGAATCGGGTCATCATTTAAACTTTGACAGATCTGTATAAAATAATGTCGCACACATTAGAGGAAGTAGAGCCCTGCACGGGCCTCAAATTTAGGCCCTGGCCCGAGACGCTCAGGTCCTAGCCCGGCCCGTGTCCGACAGCTTATCAGAATTACCGGCCCGAGCACCTCTTTTTTTCCCCTTCTTCCAAAACAGCTTATACTACCATTTCAGCTATTATAATAGTTCCGTTTTGTATGTAATAGCAAAGTGATATTTTGTTTCGTTTTTTTATGAAGTTAATAAAAAAAAAAAAAAAACGTTTGGAGCATTTTTTGTTCGTTAAATATAAGTTTTTGTTTTTTTAAAGTAACGACCAAGCGGCAGACAGTGAGTGAGCCTATGTTTGATCAATTTAGCCCAGTGATGAGCAAACTTGGCCCTTCCAGGCCACTTCCCTGCAGAGATTTAAACCCTGATAAAACTCACCTGCTTGTAGCCTACTAGTAGTCTTGAAGACAAAGATTAGGTGTGTTTGATTAGGGTTGGAGCTAAACTCTGAAGGAAAGTGGCCTGGAAGGGCCAAGTTTGCCCACCCCTGATTTTAGCCTTCTCAAATCATCACGACTTGCCTAAAATCAAATCTATAGATATAAAATAGTTCAAGCATATAACAAATGTTTAAACGTTAAACCTAGATAAATGTGCGCTATATCCAATAGTTTGTGCGGAGAGTGGAAGCTAAAGCGTGTTTTGCAGGACATGGAGGCGCCAGCGCGATTACTTGCATTTGTTTCAGTGGATACTGAATTTTTGTTGAGTAATTTTTGCTCGTAAAGGTAAGAGTAATACATCATTCGTAGCTGTAAAAGGTCTACTTTTATTTGTGTGCACTCACAATATCAACAAAATGTTGTGCTTTTATAAAATAAGGAAAACAAACATGATGCGCTTTCTGCCGTCTCGTCTTGAACAGAAGCACTTCACAAAAATGAACCAAAACTCAGCGAATACATGTCTCACAGACATGATAAATATATCTGTAGAAAGCTTTAAATTACTACTTAATGAAATAAAACAAATCAAAAACAAAAACTCTTTCATTATAATCATAATCCGTAAAGATGCACTTCTCTTTAAGGCGCGTCTAATGAGGAATGAGGAGATGGCGAGTCAGGATCGGCAACTTCATCCTTGCGACACAGACTCAGAAAACACTAGTTTATTAATAAATAACTCAATTATCTCCTTACTATTTCCCCCTGTCACATTTATGGTAATTACTTTTGCTGGTGCTTTGCGGCAAACTTAAGCCTATTGCTTGCATTTGAACGCAGAACTCTTCAGCTGCGCTGATGGCACGCACCATACATGCTACTGCACACGGACACTAAACACCGTCGAGCCGCTCTTGACAGTCACGGTAGCACGGTCTCGTGTTGTTTCCACCAGCGAGGCAATTTTTTTCATCACTAATTGATGGATGTCTAAAATATAAAAAAATAAGGAGAAGCCTAAAACAGGCCCGAGGCCCGGCCCGCGTCTGAACTATGACGTGAATATTGGCCCGAAGCCCGGCCCGAGGGGCGCAAAAAAGTCGGGGCCCGTCGGGCCTGGGCTGAAATGCAGGGCTCTAAGAGGAAGACTTAAGTCAAATCAGTGCTCATGAAAGCTACTGTTTATATTTTTATGCAACCGTTTCATAAGATCACATGAAAATCACATGCATTTTAATGGAAACATTTGGTTGAAAAATATGACAAGCTAACTTTTAAGAAAATCTAGAAAAGGTGATCAAATAAATCCATAAATCCAATATAAAGCTCAAGACTTTTAAAATGATCTGCACTGTTACCTCACAGAGGAACATGAACATGCCCGTGTGTATGTTCAGAAGTTCGATGACGCTGAGTGCTTGTCTCTCATTGGTCGAGAGCGGATTGAAGAGCAGCTCTCTGACCAGTAAGCCCCGCCTCTCTTGTGTCCACACGTCGATCTCTTCTTGACAATATGCAAACGTGCAGCCTTCTCCATACTTGCACACCTGATTCTCCAACACCTCTACACACACACACAGGGAGGATTACATCACATTGATTAACCTTTTCAGTGGTGAGTGTAAAATATTCTCAGTCCCCCCAGAGTGAGTTTTTTTTTTTAAGGCGACCGTTATTTTAGAACTTACTGTTTCCATGGCAACGCGTCAGGCTTGTCACGTGACACACCGCAGCCACAATAACACTGTATAACAGATGGATCGCTTTTATTTCGTTTTTCCTTTTTTATTTAAAGGGGTCATATGATGCTGCTAAAAAGAACATTACTTTGTGTATTTGGTGTAATGAAATGTGTTTATGCGGTTTAAGGTTCAAAAAACACATTATTTTCCACATACTGTACATTATTGTTTCTCCTCTATGCCCCACCTTTCTGAAACGCGTCGCTTTTTACAAAGCTCATCGGTCTGAAAAGCGAGGTGTGCTCTGATTGGCCAGCTATCCAGTGCGTTGTGGTTGGCCGAATACCTCAAGCGTGTGACGGAAATGTTACGCCCCTCACCATACTGTGATGCCTGCGGCAACCACATGTGACGACCCCAGGCTGGACTCCGCTTTGTCCACTGTGAAAGCCGATCCGGCGATCCACAGCGCGAAGTTGAAGTATTTCCTCAGCGACCAGCACGGATCAGCTCCAGGCATGACGAATTGATATCGTCCTCTTTTGGAAGGCCAAACAAAGCAGTTTCGCTTTACAACGAAGCACACAGCGCTTTCACGACATGGCGGCGGCGGCGGCAACAACTAAACTACAGCGAGAATAAAAGTTACGCCTTCTTTCTTTGCGTGAACATTTGAGCGGCGTTATGCAAATCTTCCCACAAATGTGCGCTATATCCAATAGTTTGTGCGGAGAGTGGAAGCTAAAGCGTGTTTTGCAGGACATGGAGGCGCCAGCGCGATTACTTGCATTTGTTTCAGTGGATACTGAATTTTTGTTGAGTAATTTTTGCTCGTAAAGGTAAGAGTAATACATCATTCGTAGCTGTAAAAGGTCTACTTTTATTTGTGTGCACTCACAATATCAACAAAATGTTGTGCTTTTATAAAATAAGGAAAACAAACATGATGCGCTTTCTGCCGTCTCGTCTTGAACAGAAGCACTTCACAAAAATGAACCAAAACTCAGCGAATACATGTCTCACAGACATGATAAATATATCTGTAGAAAGCTTTAAATTACTACTTAATGAAATAAAACAAATCAAAAACAAAAACTCTTTCATTATAATCATAATCCGTAAAGATGCACTTCTCTTTAAGGCGCGTCTAATGAGGAATGAGGAGATGGCGAGTCAGGATCGGCAACTTCATCCTTGCGACACAGACTCAGAAAACACTAGTTTATTAATAAATAACTCAATTATCTCCTTACTATTTCCCCCTGTCACATTTATGGTAATTACTTTTGCTGGTGCTTTGCGGCAAACTTAAGCCTATTGCTTGCATTTGAACGCAGAACTCTTCAGCTGCGCTGATGGCACGCACCATACATGCTACTGCACACGGACACTAAACACCGTCGAGCCGCTCTTGACAGTCACGGTAGCACGGTCTCGTGTTGTTTCCACCAGCGAGGCAATTTTTTTCATCACTAATTGATGGATGTCTAAAATATAAAAAAATAAGGAGAAGCCTAAAACAGGCCCGAGGCCCGGCCCGCGTCTGAACTATGACGTGAATATTGGCCCGAAGCCCGGCCCGAGGGGCGCAAAAAAGTCGGGGCCCGTCGGGCCTGGGCTGAAATGCAGGGCTCTAAGAGGAAGACTTAAGTCAAATCAGTGCTCATGAAAGCTACTGTTTATATTTTTATGCAACCGTTTCATAAGATCACATGAAAATCACATGCATTTTAATGGAAACATTTGGTTGAAAAATATGACAAGCTAACTTTTAAGAAAATCTAGAAAAGGTGATCAAATAAATCCATAAATCCAATATAAAGCTCAAGACTTTTAAAATGATCTGCACTGTTACCTCACAGAGGAACATGAACATGCCCGTGTGTATGTTCAGAAGTTCGATGACGCTGAGTGCTTGTCTCTCATTGGTCGAGAGCGGATTGAAGAGCAGCTCTCTGACCAGTAAGCCCCGCCTCTCTTGTGTCCACACGTCGATCTCTTCTTGACAATATGCAAACGTGCAGCCTTCTCCATACTTGCACACCTGATTCTCCAACACCTCTACACACACACACAGGGAGGATTACATCACATTGATTAACCTTTTCAGTGGTGAGTGTAAAATATTCTCAGTCCCCCCAGAGTGAGTTTTTTTTTTTAAGGCGACCGTTATTTTAGAACTTACTGTTTCCATGGCAACGCGTCAGGCTTGTCACGTGACACACCGCAGCCACAATAACACTGTATAACAGATGGATCGCTTTTATTTCGTTTTTCCTTTTTTATTTAAAGGGGTCATATGATGCTGCTAAAAAGAACATTACTTTGTGTATTTGGTGTAATGAAATGTGTTTATGCGGTTTAAGGTTCAAAAAACACATTATTTTCCACATACTGTACATTATTGTTTCTCCTCTATGCCCCACCTTTCTGAAACGCGTCGCTTTTTACAAAGCTCATCGGTCTGAAAAGCGAGGTGTGCTCTGATTGGCCAGCTATCCAGTGCGTTGTGGTTGGCCGAATACCTCAAGCGTGTGACGGAAATGTTACGCCCCTCACCATACTGTGATGCCTGCGGCAACCACATGTGACGACCCCGGGCTGGACTCCGCTTCGTCCACTGTGAAAGCCGATCCGGCGATCCACAGCGCGAAGTTGAAGTATTTCCTCAGCGACCAGCACGGATCAGCTCCAGGCATGACGAATTGATATCGTCCTCTTTTGGAAGGCCAAACAAAGCAGTTTCGCTTTACAACGAAGCACACAGCGCTTTCACGACATGGCGGCGGCGGCGGCAACAACTAAACTACAGCGAGAATAAAAGTTACGCCTTCTTTCTTTGCGTGAACATTTGAGCGGCGTTATGCAAATCTTCCCACATAGTGACGTAGGTATGTGGGGGCATGTTAGAACGAGCTGTTTTAGGTAGGCGTGGTTAACTCTTAACTTTTATAAAGAATATCTCTTTGGATTTGAGACTTTAGTCTTTGCAACTTTACAGATCTTCTTTATGCACCAAGAGCTTGTAACACTCCAAAGAGAAAGGAAAAATTGAAATCGCATCATATGACCCCTTTAAAATATTCACAAACTTGCATACCATGTCATGAACAATCTGATATTCCGATTCACAAATGTGTGTAAATGAGTGTTTTGTCATTTAAAAACCTTTCTAAATTATCTTGATTGTGATCTGTAATGTGAGATGGGCGCCGCCATGTTTGTTCGCGCTGCAGTTCAGAGTCCTGTCAGTCGGATTTACAGCACGTGAATTCATCAATTTCTCCCAAAATACAAGTAATAAGTGGCCGGTGAACTGGGTGAAGAATAGAGTGAACTTTATAGTTACTTACACTATGTGTATCTGATATGAAAAAAACTGTTATTGGATGGATTGTTATTGTTGCTTCCATAGACGTGTGTATTTTTCAAACTCTAAATGTATTGTTTTAGTAGTACTTATGTGTATTTAAATGTCTGAAACCTAAAATATGCATTATGTGGTTAAGAACACTGCATAGTTGTGATAATATGACAAGTGCTGTGCACTTCTCTCTCTGGCTCAGCGTCAGCTAAAGCGCGAAAGCATAGTTTGAATTTGGCAGTTGTGTGACGTCACCGAACGTTCTAAGTCCCATATGTGGGACCGTACTCCCAGGGGCACGGAAATAAAAATCCCATATGTGGGACCGTACCGCTCAAAGGGTTAAGGTACTAGGTCATCAGTCACTGCCCGGTTAACTGGTGACGCACCTCTACAGAGCACAAAAGCAGCCTGGAAGTTGTTGTGAGTTGGGCGGGGCCGAATCCGCCTCCAGGGTGAGTTAGCCCCGCCCCTCCTCCTGCACAGCAGAAGATCCTTCTTACAGCTGTGAGAAACATCAGTCCTGAACTCAAAATCCAGCACACCTGGACCTGAGAGATGACAGATAAAACGAAAGAATAATTAAATTGCTAAAACAAAAGATAGAAGGATTGAAATGATAGACTGAATGATAAATAGAGCAACAGATGGCATGATAAGAGTGATAGAAAAAATTATAAATGTAACAATAGATAAATTGGTAAATAGAATGATAGATATAATAACAAGTGAACAATGATATGACAGAAAAATCAATAAAACAACAGATAAAGAACAGAAAACAATAAAATGATAGCTAGAACAAAACACAATAATAAAATGATAAAGTAATATATGATAAAACAATACATAGAACAATTAGAATGATAAAATTATAAATAGAACAAAAGATAAAATGAAAAACAGAATGACAGAATTATAAAACAACAAACCGACTGAGATTATAAATAATAGAATGATAGAATGAATGATAAAATAGTAAATCAAATGGTAGAGCAACATAATGATAAATAAAACGCTAAATACTTTGACAGATATAATATAAATTGAACAATATATAGAACGATAAATAGAATGATAAAACAAATAGAACAACAGACAGAATAAAAGAGAACAATGACAGAATGATAAAACAATAAATAGAAAAATAGATCAGATATAATAAATAGAATGATAGATAAAATGACAAATAGAACGACAGAACAATTAAACAAATAGAACAATAAAACAATACATACAATGATAGAACAATAGATAGAACAATAGATGAAACGATAAACAGATCTATAAAACAATAACAAGAACAATAATATAAGTGATGTGAAGTGCCGGCCCCGAGACTCAAACCCGCAACCTTCAGGTTACATGTCTGACTCTCTAAGCATTAGGCCACGACTGTGGTAGCATTCTACACAAAAGAATGCTACCACAGTCGTGGCCTAATGGTTAGAGAATGCTACCACAGATAGAACGATAGCCAGACCAATAAAACAATAAAAAAAATTACAGAAGAAAAGGCAGATTGTGAGTGTCTGAGTCACCTGTACTCCTGAAGCAGCAGCTGCAGGCTTGAGTGAAATTATGCGTTTGTTCCAGCGGGTTCTTGCACAGACGGGACAGAGTCGAGGTCACATGACCATTCCTCTGTAACAAACACACACACACACACACACACACACACACACTAATTAAACAAACAGAGATGCACTAACGCTTTCACATATTCAGACTGTCAAAAACATCAAACTTACCGTACGAGGAGAATGTGTCAGTTTGACTGACGGCAGAAAACTGCGACAGACTTTCCCACCTGACAGAGAAACAAACACATGCTCATCATCATCATCATCATCATCATCACAAGTTCAAGTATCACACGGCAGTCTGCGTAGGTTTAACAGTCAGACCTGGCAGAGTGAATTCAGACAGCGAATCGAGCACATCTCCTCCCACCACCAGAGGGTGCTGCAGGGACACGGAGCCGCCGGAGGGACAGATGTAGTCCAACGCATCCAGATCGCCACTGGAGCAGTCCGAGCTCAGCTCCGGTTTAGTGAAGGAGTCAAGAGAGTTCAACTGACTCCCGACGGACGAGAAGAAGGCAGGAGGAAGACGAGGAGATGAGAAACACAGCAGAGCGCTGGGAACGACTCCGCTCTGAGTGACAAACAGGACAGAGTTAACTCATCACCATAAGGTACAACATCTACAGTGTTTCCCATAAAATGATTTATTTGTGGCGGCCGCCACAATATCAAAACTGACAGCCACAAACAGATTTTCCAAAAGGCTTTGACTTCGTTAAATAAACATGAGCACTAGGGCTGTCAAAATGACTGAAAAACTAAATTTGAATTTTCATCTTAAAGGTGCAATAGGTGATTGTCTTCAGAAACATTTCTTTGTTATGCTGGTTGAAAGTCTCTTCACATCCCGATAGCAATCATTAAGTTAAGTGGTCTAAATGTATTTATATATTCTGTGGAAGGCGCAGGACCAAGAAATGTTCGTCCAATCAAAACGCTCGGTCTGAGCGTTTTAATTGGCTTTCCTACCTGCCTGTCAACGTATGTATTAGCATACCTCCGCGCACCCTGTTCGCGCAGACAGGATACGTCATCATTAATGTTTTCTCACCGGTGAATGACACATGATGTAGCCCAGAGGTTCCCAGTCCTCGCGCCCGCTCTGCATATTTTGAATGTCTTGCTTAGTTAACACACCCGATTCAGATAACCAGCTCGTTAGAAGTGAGCTACGTGCATGAACTGTGTTCCGATCGGTATGATAACACAGTGTTCATTGCTCCCTCCTCCCTGAGCAGGGGAAATCTGTTGAAGTTTACTTCACTTCGGAACATGGGCTGGAATTGGGAACCGCAGGTGTAGCCTATTGTAGTAATGTTGTCTCTGGCATTCTGGTCTGTGAGCGTATATGCGTTCAGGGGGCGTGGCTTTGGAAGGCGATTGCAGGGAGGTAGGGTTGGGTACCGTTCACATTTTAACCGGTACGGTACCGGTATCGATACCTGAATTTCGGTGCAGGTACCCAACGGTACCTTTTTTCGGTACTTTACTCTCTGTGTAATTACAAAAACATTTATTTCAGTGTAAAAATAAGTCCAGCAGTCTCAATTTCAACATTTTGAACAATAGGGCCCTACAAACTTTTCCCCCCCCCCAGAAATTCTTGTTTTACTTTTCTGAAAATCAAATGAAGGCATTAAACATTTATTTTAAATCAAATGAAAATTAAACCCTTTTATTTTTTGGCAAACAAACTGAGGTTTACTGCTGACATTAATACATAGAAGAAAAATTGTGTGAATATTATTTTAAAACATTTTATAATAGGCTAATAATTGTTTTATTTTTTTCTACAATTAAGTGTAAAAAATCTGGATGTAATATTTATTTCTATCATTTAATTGTTTTCTTTAACTTTGATAGAAAATTTAATATTTAAAGATGTACATTATACTGTACTAAAGTAATACAAGAGTAATATATTTCTGTTACATGTTAAACCGTACTTTTATTTTGACAGGTTGCCATGAAGTTTCTGTGTATATACAGTATGATGATGCTAGTTTTCTCAAACGGTAAAATTCTCGCGAAGTGACTCTCACAGCAGCTTTGGAGATTAAGTTGTGTTCATGTCGTCATATAGTGAGACGCAGTGCCTGAAAATAACCGCGAGCGTCAGGCGTGCTTCAGTATTTGTGTAGTAAACAAAACCGCGTTTCCGCCATTCATACATACAGAGGCAAGCGGAACATGCAGGATTCATATTTAAACCATCTTTTTGCATTGTAATATTCACAGACACTAGTTCATATCGCGATTCGAATTAAGTGGCAGACCTACTTTTGATTTATTAGTCCAAAATTGACGAATTCCGTGGCATTCCGCGCTATAGAGTAAATTACGTTTTTATGAATGGAGTCCACAATCCCATCCGCGTTTTCGCAGAAACCATTATGGCCCTAGAAATGTAACCACACTTTAGAACATTTCGGCTTGCCCTGTGTGTTGTTTGAACGAGTTGCAGGGGTGACATCACGTCACAGGGTCTCTCTTTCTCTCTCTAGCGTATGCGCCCAGATGCATTCTCAGGTACCGAAATTTGGCACCGATTGATTTAACATGAATCGGTACTCGGTAGTACCGATGCAATTCGATCGGTACCCTTAAAAGTACCGAGTTCGGTACCCAACCCTACAGGGAGGGTGGGACATTCGCTTTCAGTGCTATCAGGCTAAAGTTAGCATTTTCCAAGATCTCCTACTGCACCTTTAAATATTATCAAAATTCTAATTATATTCAAATTTAAAAGGCATAATTTCAGTTAGCGGGAAAAAAGATTTTGGCTTTTCTCCTGAGGCCACAAGAGGGCGCATCGCGCAAAATATTATGCAAGTTTCTTCAAAGTGTAATAAAATAACACAACTATCTTTGAAAAAAAAAAGTGCATAATGTTTAAAATAATGTTTATAAACCATATATAATTAATAAAGTTGCTTAAACAATTAGAAAAAAACCCCAACACCATGCATGTATAGTTTAATACAAAGGACCGAAAACCAATCACAAAGAGTAGGCTACTTTCTTCATTTAAAAACATGATACAGGGGGATGGGGAAAAAAATGCCATAAAGTCTTGAGACATGTTTTTTAAAAGTTGAACTTACATTAATTTTACATGGCTTTCTAATCATGCCGCTCTCTTGCGCGAGACGCGCGTGCAACGCTGATAGATGTCCCTCTAGAAAATGTGATAAATATGCGTTCTGTGTGAACGGCTTGGTTTCAGTTTTGAGATAAACAACATCTTCTCCACACTGATGCTCTCGTTTTCTGCAATATATTGAATGAATAAGGTAGCAGCGCCGCATCTAGTGGGTTCAACTGGATAGGCTAACAAAAGCATTAAAATGCAATGACACTTAGCCTACATCGTCGTCACATTTCGTGTGCCACTGATAGGTTGCCTGACGGCTGACGCAGACTGTTTTTGCACTTGAATGTGGATTTTTTTTTTAATTCTACGAATATTCGAAATTCAAAAAAAAATTTTGACAGCCCTAATGAGCACTGCACGTTTCAAAGTCGAAACCTGGTGCGGGTGTTTTTACATCACTATTTTTTTTTTAAGGAAACTGACTGTCTTCAGAAAATTTTGGATGTCATTTTCATTTCATCTTGCATTTAATGCCTGATTAAGCAGCATTTGTGAGCGAAGCGCTGCTTTGTGTACAGCCGTTACCAGGGAAACATCTATTTCCCTAGATAATGAATTTAGATGGAGGCGGGGGAGTGCCGCCACAAATAGAGTGTAAGGCTGTGGGAAACACTGCATTTATGTCTGGTTAGTTAGTGGCTCACCTGCGATGCGTCTTCCTCTTTAGACATGCAGTCCAGCAGACTGTCCAGCTCGTCTCCAATCAGCTCATTGTCCTCCAGCGGCTGAGACACGGGCACCGAGAGCGGCACGGCTCCGGACAGACCCAGGGCCTCGTGGGAGTCACTGACGGGGACCGGAGCGGGTAAGACGGGAGATGGCCAATCAGAGTCAGCTGTCAGACAGAGATAACACTGAACATGAACACAATCAGCTGCAGAGTTAGACTAGACTGCAGACACGTTTGTAATGAAACACCAGCATACTGTACACATTATACTGTCTTCTTTTGATAAAAACAGCATGTGAAAGGACATGTATACACACATACATACATACATATATATATATATATATATATATATATATATATATACACAGTGGTGTGAAAAAGTGTTGGGCCCCTTCCTGATTTCTTTTTTAATACATTGTTTAAAAACATCTTAAGTTCTAGTACTTTGATAAAATGATGTATAGATACAATTCATACTGGAAATGGGTATAAAGTGTCTTCTGCTCACCAAGGCAGCAATAAAAAAATTATTTGATAAAGTGAAATATTATTATAATTTAAAAAAAATTTCTATGTGAATGTTAAAAATGTTCAAATGTAATTATTTGTGTGATCAAAGCTGTTTTTTCAGCATCATTGCTCCAGTCTTTAACGTCACATGAGCCTTCAGAAATGATTCTAATATGCTGGTTTGCTGCTCAAGAAACATTTCTGATTATTATCGGTGTTGAAAACAGATGTGCTGCTTCATATTTTTGTGAAAACTGTGATACATTTTTATTTTTCAGGATTCTTTAATGAAGAGAAAGTTCAAAAGAACAGCATTTATTTGAGATAGAAATCTTTTGTAACATAGTTAATGTCTTTACTCTCACGTTTGATCAATGCATCCTCATTTCCTTCAAAAAATTATACTCACCCAAAACTTTTGTACATTAATGTTAATTAATGCATTTGGCAGGCAGATTTATCCAAAGGGATGATGCAATGAAAACATTTTATCAGTTGATGCATTCTCTGGGAATCAAGCGCATGACCTTGGTGTTGCTAACGTCACACTTTACTGTCTGAGCTGCAGGAAAACATGCTGCATTCCTACTATTAGTATGATATTCAGTGTCTTTGAAATACCTGCGGAGTCAGTCACTTCCTCCAGCCCAACAGAAGAAATCTGCAAACAAACACCAAAGACGTCTCAATCTACTCATCATCAGCTAGCTGAGCTGAAATCCAAAGATGAAATTCATGAGAAATTAGTTTAAAACCGTAGTTTTGGTTTTTTTAAATGAAGTCCTGCCTCATCTAAAGGTGATGGCGCAACAGAGTTGTCCTCAGAACCTGCTGCTTTCCCCCTCTGAAACAGAAGAACAGATTTGTTTCATAATATGATTATCTTTCTCAAACATTTCCTTATTGCACTCAAACATAGTGTTAAAAATATTTCAACAGCATGTACAGGATTGTGGGTACTCACGTGAGAACTGATGTACGCTTTTCTGTTTTTTAGGCCCAGACTGGCTGCAATTTCCTTGGACAAATTACTGATTGTCTGATCCTGAAAAACAGAGAAAATATGACAGACACAACAGACAGAAATCACCAAGACAAAGACAGTCACATGACCCTGATACAACTAATCAAGAACATGTTTAATGAAACATATTTAAGATAGCAAAAAAAAAAAGTTAGTTAACTAGCAAATAAGTAAATTATCCTTCCTGACTTTACCAAACAAAAAGAGTTTAGAATGAAATGAAGTAAATCAAAATGCAATTTTATTCCTAATTATGCTAAATAACCATTTATTTCAGTTTAATTTCTTAAGTATTTGTGATTGTCAGACATTCTAAATGTTTTTGAATGCTGGGTATTCATTTATTTAATGTGCATTAATTAGTTTACTCCAATTTAAATGTTTAGAATGTTTTTTTAAATTTACACACTGCTTTAAATTAATAATCTACATATTTAGTTTCATAGGGGTTTCAGTGATACAGATTAAAGCACAAACAAATAAATATAATCAGTTTTGGCCTTTTAGTGACATTAAACAGTATGAAATGGAAAATATTGAAAAAAAATTTAATAATGGAATGGAAAGATTTTTTTTTCACAGGAAACATAATTTCATCAATTATTGCAAAGTACATTTGAAATATTCTGATCTAAAATACAGTAAATATCTAGTCAAAATAATCACAGTATTACAGTTTTTCACAATTGTTTTTGTGTGTGTGTGTATATATATATATTTTTTTTTTCTTTTTCTTTTCTTTTCTTTTCTTATTTTTTCTTTCTTTCTGTATTTCACATACATTTGACCAGCATAATCAATCTTACAATGGTTTTTTTCCTCTTGCAAAGTCATAGAAACACTATTAGGGAAAATGGTAACACAAAAATAAAACACATTTTTATAGTTTCCATTCACCCTTGAGGTTTGCCAACCCCGACGACTTCTGAGAACCCGTGAAAAGGGTCCATTAGATTACAGAAGAATTACAATTAATTCCATTTATTTAGCATTAATATATCAGCACATGTTAATTGAGCTGCAACATTTACTTCCACAAGGATAATAACACAGATGTTTGTTGTTTACCTGCGGTGAGGCCAGCAGACATGCAGTGCTGCAGTCGTACGCCTCTCTCAGTTTCCCAGACTCCTTCAGACACACGGCCTTACGATACAACGCCTTAGCGCTGTCCTTACACACCTCCAGAGCGCGATCGCAGTCCTTCACACTGCTGTCAAACTCACCCTGACACGGACAGAGAGAAAACACACATGACTTCATCTGCAACATAAAATATGTGACCCTGGACCACAAAACCAGTCATAGGGGTCATTTTTTTAATAATCTGAATAAATAAGCTTTTCATTGATGTAAGGTTTGTTAGGAAAGGACAATATTTGAGATCGAGATACAACTATTTGAAAATCTGGAATCTGAGGGTGCAAAAGAAAATCTAAATATTGAGAAAATCGCCTTTAAAGTCATCCAAATTAAGTTCTTAGCAATCCATATTACTAATCAAAAATGAAGTTTTGATACATTTACGGTAGGAAATGTACGAAATATCTTCATGGAACATGATCTTTACTTAATATCCTAATGATTTTTGGCATAAAAGAAAAATTGGTAATTTTGACCCATACAATGTATTGTTGGCTATTGCTGCAAATATCCCCCAGCGACTTATGACTGCTTTTGTGCTCCAGGGTCACATATAAAGCATCCAACAAGAACCTTAAAGGCCAAAATCCAGAAACGAAGTGAATTTTAGCACTTTCATCCTGAAGTCAATGGGTTTTTTGGATTGGTTTTTGGTTAAGCTCAAGAGATTCTCGCATTTTATTCTATAACATAAAATACATCAATAAAACCCTCTTTTCAAAAAAAAAAAAACGCTACCATGGTGTAGTTTGTTTATAGTCCATGTTTGGCTTTTATCTTCTGCCGTTTAATTTAGTTAGTTTTTGTTGTTCTCAGAGCTTATTTTTGACAATAATTCAAAGGCCAATAGAAAAATCCCATTGGGTTTTTGTCAAAAGAATCTGAGTGATGCTAACTTCCAGTTTGGCCTACAAAAATATGTAGATCTTGGTGTCAAATTCACCATGTTCTGATGGACGGCTGCGCGGTTGATGTACAGACTCTCCAGCAGGGCGGTGGGAACGTTCAGCCCCTCGACTTGAGCGTAAAGCGCCACGTTGACGCCCTCGCTGAAATGATCATGCGCCTGCGTCCAGTCGCCCTCTCGAAACGCAGCATTGCCCTCGTCTAAGAGATCACACACCAGCTGAACCACAAAGCCCTGATGAACAACAACAGCAAAGAAGAAACAAACAGACAGCTTATTACATAAGAATTTTTTTTAACTGGTCCAATCATGCTAAAATACTTAGCTCTACTTTAGAGAGAAAATGTGAATTTGTCTTCATTTAGATAAGCGTTTGTGTGCAAAATATTTCCTCAAGCCCAACCTCATAGCCTTCAGGGTCCGGATAAGGCAGAGAACATCTGTAGACACAAAGCACAAATCAACACTGTGTTTGAGATACGACAGTCAGCAGGACTGAATGATACTTAAAGTACAAGAAGAATTTTTTTTTTGTAGTACTTGATGAAGCTCAGCGCTCTCTGAATCTCCTCCCGGCGCTTCTGACGCTCACCGCTCATGTTTGACCATCACAACCCTGAAAAACAAACAGACACGTGTGCAAAAGTTCACGTTTACCAGCTGTTCACCGTTAGTCTCAAAAGACACCAATGCTTTCTTAAAAGTGTGTATTATAAACCGAATATTTGGTGTATAGACTGCTGTGTTAAACATTAAAGCGTCAACGTTTTAAATGATTATATCACAGTTTACAGTATATTTATGCATGTTCAGCATTGTATTTATATGTTTTCATTTGTGTCGGATGAGTCAAAAACTAGTTGACTGCCTAGAGAGCATTATTATCAGGCTATAGCATGCCGCTATCCCAGCTATCACAAGAATGTTCTGAAAATACTTTTAAAAACACTGCACAATTATGAGAAAGTTATTTCTGAACGTTTTCTAAACGATCAAATATGTGATTATTAACTTGAATTTTCAAAACGTTTGAAAAAATGTTTCAAACATTGACAGAAATGTTTTAGTTTTTTTTATCATTTTACAAACATTATGGAGATTTTACTTTTGAATCGCCAAAAAAAGCTCACCCTTACGAAAATTAACCATGGATTTATTGTAGTAATCATGTTTTAGTTTTTTTTTCTGGCGTATTGATTACTAGGGCTGTGTATCACCAGCAAAGTCACGATACGATACGCATCACGATACAGAGGCCACGATACGATACATGACTGCACTGAATTTCACCTCAGCAGAATTGAGAAAAACAGCTGTTTATTAAACACTGCTTACTATAGTGCCATTTCTAACTATTGGCAGAGCAGGCAGCTGAGCTCTGCATTATGAAGGGTCTCCATAACTGTACCACAGTACAATATAGGTAATGGCATATATTTCATGTTTACATTGTGCACTCCCCACCAGGTACAATGTTAAAATATGTTTAAAAAATTATTTACATTGCTGGTAGGTTATCATTGCACAAATTAACACACTCTCTACAATAAAAAAAAAATTAGAAGAGTTCTAAACACAGCTCCGCTTCCGAAGACGCAAAAGCGTTGTTCAAAGCGACTCAAGCCGAACATGCCCGTCTGTGCCAGCATTTGTGTGAAACAGAAGCAGTTTGATGTTAAATGCAGTCATACAAACAGATCACGCTGCGGCCGAACTCAGACATTCAGGAAAAAACTTTTTAGCGCTGCCCCGCAATTTTATCAACTAAATAGCTTAATCGCTCAAGAGCTACATTATCTTTCTCAACAAGGAGCTGGTAGCATCATTGTTTCTAAAGGAATTAAAGCCACAGCTTTACTGTTAATAGAGAAACGTGGCAAAACGGTGGTAATTCATACATACACAGCCTCTCTCTCTCTCTTTGTGTCGTAAATGAACAGTTGATGAATTACACTTTTCTGAGAATAGACTTGAAGTGGAGATAGCTAAACTGCAAGCTAAGCGGTGTTTTCAGAAAGCAAGCGCGTTTATCCAGTGGAGAGAGAGCGTGTGTGCACAGGGTTGCCAGGTTGACAAAGATAAGTAGCACGTTTAGCAGATATTTCTGTATTGCGCAAGTGTAAAGCTCTGTTTTGGGGATTATGTCTCTTTATATCAAGCAACCTCGTTGTGTTCCTCTGCGGCCAGATTATTAACAGATGCTCTATTTATTCTTTTTTAGAAACCTCGCACTTTTCTACAAAAACGTTGTAAAATTAAGCGCGGTCCACTGCTGCACACGTGCCACAGTATCGATACAGGGCCAGCTGTATCGATGCTCGTATCGTCAAATCTCTGTGACGATACATCGTCGTATCGATATTTTGAACACAGCACTATTGATTACCATTTGTATAACCAAAGTTTTACTACTAATACCATGGTTAAACTACGGTTAGTAAACCAAGGTTAATTTGTGGTTACTAGGGGTGTGCGATATATATTGTCTGCGATAATATTGTAATTGTTGTTTTAAGGATGTGCGATTTGACATTATCGAGTATTTTGCAAAAACCATTCAAAACATCCCAACAGAGCGCACACATACATTACGTGAAGTCTAGACTAGTGCGTGTGCGCATTTAGTGTTTTCTTTCACTGCATGATTCAGTCTATTAAAATACATTTAGAATGATCACAAATTCAAGACATGGCAGAAAATTTATATATTTATACCACTTCATATAGTTATTCAATTTCACACGAAGAGTGCCGTTTTTCTCCAAAAATTACCATGATTACAAATGTGACATTGAATTCAATAAGCAATAAGACTTTACGTTTTAGACAACATATTGCTTGTTTTTGCTCTATTTCGCCAACAAAAATCATTCCGAATACAGCTGTTTTGTGTCTCTGCAGGGCTCGACGCTTACTTTTCTTTTTAGGAGCACTTGTGCTCCTAACTTAAAAAATTTAGGAGCACGTTCAAAATTTTAGGAGCACCTTCTAAACAATAATTCAAAATGTTATCAAAAAGTAGCCTTTCCATTACGAGGTAATATTTGACTCCTCTAACTTTATTAAAAGTATGTAATCTTTTGTCAAATTCTTAAAAATTATATTTTATAAACTTTTTAAACATTTTTATTAAAACGACAGAATAAGAGTAGAATAAGAAACATAAGTTAAAAATCAAATGAAATCAGTATTAACTAAATTAATTTGTAGAGGTGGCACAGAAGAACACAAAAGTGGCTTGATGTACTTTCAGACATTTAATGAGGTTCAGAAGTGGAATGAGTGCAATTAAATCCATAAATCCATGATGATATTAATGTTTTAAATATAAAATTTTGAATATAGAAATATTAAATGATTTAAATAACTGAAAAGATACTTTAAAAATGAAACTAAAACTGCCAGCAGGTGGCGGCAAGTCACTGATTTTTATCACTGAATCATTCATTCAATTGATTCATTCGAACGGCTGATTCATTCAAGAGTGACTGTCTTTATGAATGGGTAATCATGAATCACTGACTCACTAGATTCGTTTAAAAAAACTGTTCGTTCATAAACGAAACACCGCTGTGTTTGAATGGAGATGCGCAGCGGCTGAGCTGTGACTTTGTTTTTAAACTATTTTCGAAATATTTCGAAATACAACGAAATATGACTCACTTATTAACAGTGACTTGCTGCCACCTACTGGCGGTTTTCTTTTCAAATTTCGGCTTTTTCTTTTTTGTCTTTTTTCATGTTTTAAATCATTTCAAATATCAGTATTCAACGTTTTATGTTTAATATATCAAAACATTATTTATGCATTTGCGGCAGTCCTTAAGATATCAGCACAATAACACACTCAGCAAAATATCGTCTAATTATCGTTATCGATAAAATCCCTGAAAATATCGATATAAATTACTCAATATCGCACACCCCTAGTGGTTACCATGTTTTTTTTTTTGGTAAAACAATGATTAATTTTCGTAAGGGCAACTAAAATAATTCAGAAAAGCGTTGAACAATGTATAACTAATGCTTTTTTGTGTTATGAGAACGCTATTAAAGACCAGATAACTTCGAACGAACGTAAACGTTACTGGAAGAATGTTGGTAACTTTGAGAGAACTCAAGTCAGGGCTCTGAGAACGTTCCCTTGGCTGGGACGACACTCAAAACCGTTAGCTTGCAACGTTAATAGAAGGGAGATAGCTGGAGATTTGAAACACGCCCAAACTCGACTTCGCTTCCTACCGTAAACAAACCGTTTCTGCAAAAACGAAACTAAAGCAGCTGGACCTTCAGGACGACGGTCTAATAATCAATAAAGCCAGCCACAAAAGAGCACATATACCCTCAGAATAAGGTCGCGCTAGAATCACAAACTTTCCAGGTGACTCCAGCCAGTCAGACTCACCTGTGTCTGGAGAAAAATCGCGAAAAAAGGCGCTTTCCTCGGAGTTCCGCGCGTGTTTCCTTGGCGGTCTGTGTGTAAAACATTAGCGGAATGACTGACAGATCATTAGCTGGTCAGTCTCAAGACATCTGCCAAATGTGTGTGAACATGCACCGCTCCCTCGCTGTGAACCCGACTAATGTTTCCAGCTGATAACCGTTTTTCCGCGAGACGAGCGCGGCTGCACCAACAGGAGGCGCTCGACCTTCATTCAAATGCGTTTAAATAAACCTCTCGACGTTCTTTCGCATTATTGGGAACGTGTATAGTGTAAAAGGCATATTACTTTGAGCATGTTCCTTCACAGAAGTGATAACTGGGATACAAAGTAAAACACGCCATGTTTTAAACACTATAAATTGATGTCAAGTAATCTGTGCCCGGTAGTCAACGAACCACTGTGATTGGTCCATCCCGACCAGCGATGAGTAATGTAACACGTGTCACGTGATGCTCCGCGAAAACGTCCGTTAAAGACCTGTTAAACTTTAACAAACGTTTTAAAGCAAAGAGACCACGGAACACGCGCTATCAGAAACACGCACTGACCTGTTCGGAAGTAAAATATGCGTTTTTAAAAATCCTTTTTTTATTTATTTATTTATTTATTTTCAGTTTAGAAACAATGCTGAGCTCTGGGACAGTAAACCTGGGTTCGTTTGTTGGCATTAAATGTGTCCTTGTGCTTTGGGAAAAGTTTGAGTCGGATTACAGTGGCCTTGAATTCCCTCCAAGCATTTCAGCATCTCTGCAAGAATCCCTGTGAAAAACATGTTTATGCCTGATGCTACACTCCCGCCTCTCTCTTTCAAATTACTAATAATTACATTTGCCAACAAAATCAGTCTATACAATGAATTAGTTCAATGTATGATCCTAAACAATAAAAAAAAATCCATAGCGTCTTTATGATTTTTATATGGTAATTTTAATTAACACTAACAGTAAAACGCAAAAAAAAATATAATATACGAACTACAAATCCCATGAACCCTTGCGCGCCTATACCGCTACACCATCAGGACGAGCGGGAGGTAGTTACTGCACCCACAGAATCATATTAAACAACACCTGTAAGTACAAACTGAATATTTATATGCTAAGTTTGTTCCGGAAATGAGTGTCGATATAGTGGCTGTAAATAGGCTGCGCCACTTGAATCGTGTTTTGCGTGCTGATCTTGCGTCAGTGTGAATCTGAAAACACATGTTCATATAACGTTAGATAGACACATGCATTTATGTAAACATACACACACCACTTTAGGGGTGAACAGCAGCAGTTTAAACACTTCTAAGAATATTTAACGTTTTAACATGCAAAGTAGGCTTACGTGGGATGAATTTATCAGTGCAGTTTAATTAATATTAATAAATTATATATTTAATTACATTGTTAATAATAGTAAATGTAACTGGAAATTAGTAATATTAGTAAAAATATATTAATTCACTGTAATAATGAAGTGGGGTTGATTCTAGTGTGTCAAATGTTATCTTTATGATTCACAAGAACTTTCTTTGTCCCTGTAGCAAAAGAGATGCACTCAAGTTAAACTCTTGTGTTCATGTATTTTCTTCAGTTGGTGTCAAGATGGCATCAGATGATGTGGCAAATCTCGCCGACTCCTTGGCCAAAACTCAAGTCGATGAGGGCGAGCTCAGTTATAAAGGACAAGGCCTTAAACTGGACAACGCTCAGTCTGGTGAGCTGATGATGATGATCTCCTAATTTTGCATGTTTCTGTATCTTCATGAAAGAGTGCCAGAGGTAATGCTGTCGTGTTGTGTGCAGTGGAGAAGATGGTGAAGGCGATCGAGGAGTTTGACGGTCTGCGAGCGCTCAGACTGGAGGGAAACACCATCGGCGTGGAGGCGGCGCAGACCATCGCTAAAGCCCTGGAGAAGAAGAGCGACCTGCAGGTGCATGTGCCAGATCATCTGGACTTATTCCCAAACCATAAACAGGAGTTCTCAACTGAGGGATCATGACCTGAAATGCTAAATCAAGTAAATTAAAGGGGTCATATGATGCTTTTTTTAAAGATCATTATTTGGTGTAACAGAATATGTTGACATGCTTTAATCACAGTCATGCATCGTAATGACAGAAAAATAAACCAGCTTATCATTTACATTTACATTTAGCAGACACTTTTATCCAAAGCGACTTACAAATGAGGACAATAAAAGCAGTCAAAACGAACAAAAGAGCAACAATATATAAGTGCAAATGACAAGTCTCGGTTAGCCTAACGCAGTACATGTAGCAAGGTGTGTATATACAGTGGGTACGGAAAGTATTCAGACCCCCTTAAATTTTTCACTCTTTGTTATATTGCAGCCATTTGCTAAAATCATTTAAGAAGACATTGTGTCAACACAAACAAACGCTACAGTATTTTTCCACAAGTTTATCTGTCGTTTGATGTAATTAAGACTGATGTCAGCATGGACAGGTTGTGCGACATCATCACATGAACAAATATGATCGAGACTTGCAGCGAGATAAAACTAAATTTGTGTTGAACACAAATTTGACATTATGATGGATAAAAATTATGAGATGGGGAAATAAAATGAGAAATTATATTTCAGTGCGTTATCCTGCACAACTTTTACGTTTGCCCAAGAATCTTTGGATTTGCAAAGTATTTTGAATATAGATTAAAAAAAATAATAATAATAATTTGAAGTTTAAATATATTGGTAACGCTTTAACAATAAGGTCTTATTTGTTAACTTGGATTAATAGTGAGCAATATATTTATTTAATGAAGCCGTATATTATATATAACAGTATATAACTAATAATTATTATTTGAGTATCTTTGTTATTGTTAGTTAATAAAAATGTTCATGTGGGTTCACAGTGCATTAACTAATGTTAAAAGATACAACTTTTGATCTTAGAAATCTATGTAGTAAATGTTGAGATTAATATTAACTAATAAACACTGTATAAGATTTTTTCATTGTTAGTTCATGTTAACTAATGTTAACAGACAAAACCTTATTGTACAGTCTTACCATATAATATTTCCTCACATTATATAATTTATATATTTTCCATCACCATATCTGCTTAAGAAATCAGTATAGTGTGTTTTGCGCATTGAATTATTGGCTGCCAAGAGCAAGAAACCACATTTAGATGATAATATTGTGCTGATAATAATGTTTATGAAACACATTGTCATATAGTGATGTAAAATTTAGAAACGAATTGAAACTATCTTCTTTACCTCTATTGTTTTTCTCTAATGATAGTGCTGCCACTGGAGCGACATGTTTACCGGCCGCCTGCGAGCTGAGATTCCTCCAGCGCTGGTAAGATGGACACTTAATGATTTAATTCTACATCTTTTAGAGCAAAGACTTTTACAATCTCTTCATCAAACCCAGTGTGCTCATAGTTAGTAGACATGACTATAACAGTCCATTTAATGCTTGTAAACGTCGCCTCTACAGGTTTCTCTGGGCAACGCGTTAATCACGGCTGGAGCTCGGCTGAAGGTTCTGGATCTGAGCGATAACGCTTTCGGACCCGATGGCGTGAAAGGCATCGAGAAGCTGCTCAAGAGCACCGCCTGCCACACGCTGCAGGAACTGCGTCTGAACAACTGTGGTATGGGCATCGGAGGAGGAAAGGTGGGTGGGGTTTATGATACTGGTGTCATGCCCTGAACAAGTGGGCGTCACTGTTGTGCTCTATTATATTGCCAGTTTATTTCTCTGGAAATTTGGTGTTGCCTGCTTTACTAGATCCTGGCGGCAGCTCTGACGATGTGTCATAAGGAGTCGAGTGCGCTCGGCGCCCCCTTGCAGCTGAAGGTGTTCATCGCTGGCAGGAACAGACTGGAGAACGATGGAGCCACAGCGCTGGCACAGGCCTTTCAGGTGCTGAACCATACGAGAAATTACCCTGAACTACAATCTTCCAGAATAATAATGATAATTTTCTTGATTTTCATTCATTTGGTGCTTTAAAATATACCAATGGAAAAATAAAGCAATGGACCAATGGAGAAGATATCCAGCAATGGACCAATAGGCCAACCACCAATGGACCAATGGAAAAAATTAAGCAATGGCTCAATGGAGTAGATAAAGCCATGGGCCAACACCAGTGCACCATGGATGATGGTCCATTGGCTCATTGCTTTATTTTCTCCAATGTAGGAGATAAACCAATGGACCAACACCAGTGGACCAATTGAAAAAATAAAGTAATGGATCAATGGAGTAGATAAAAACAGTGGACCAACACCAGTGCACCACTGGAGAAAATAAAGCACTGGTGTTGGCCCATGGCTTTATCTACTCCATTGAGCCATTGCTTAGTTTTTTCCATTGGTGGTTGGCCTATTTGTCCATTGCTGAATATCTTCTCCATTGGTCCATTGCTTTATTTTCTCCATTGGTCCACAGGTATTGGTCCAGTGGCTAATTGCTTTATCTTCTCCAGGGGTTCATTGGCCCATTGCTTTATTTTCTCCATTGGCTCATTGCTTTTTCTCTAATGGAGGAGATAAAGCAATGGACCTACACCAGTGCACCAATAGAGAAAATAAAGCAATGGGCCAATCGACCATCACCCATGGTGCACTGTTGTTGGTCCATTGGTCCACTGCTTTATCTTCTCCAGTGATCTATTGCTTTGTTTTCTCCATTGGTCCATTGTTGTATCTTCTCCATTGGTGCACTGGTGTTGGTCCATTGGTCCACTGCTTTATCTTCTCTAGTGATCTATTGGTGTTGCTTTATCTTCTCAGTTGATTGGCAGTCTGGAGGAAGTGCACATGCCCCAGAACGGCATCAATCACCCAGGAGTCACAGCTTTAGCCACAGCAATGCAGCACAACCCACAACTGCGTGTCCTGAACCTCAACGACAACACTTTCACCAAGAGAGGAGCGATCGCCATGGCACAGGTACACTGGAAAACAGATACTGCGATTTAGCTGGAAAATCTGTGGAATTATTGAAGCGCTGTACGATATCAACAGCGAAATGCAAAAAGTTAACTATGCAATTTGGATGTTTTCTTTTCACTGGTGAAGAAGAAATGTTAAGGAAGCAAAATAGGCCAAAATTGATCAGTGAATGAAAACCAGCGTTTTTTTCCTATAGTTTCTTGCCTTCATTTCAAATGTGTTTCTCTGTTTGTTAGGCATTGAA